TCACRGCCTCTCCCTGCTGTTTTGTCCGGACCCTCTTCAGAGGGGGCAGGACCCCCATGTGCGTTCAACACAGGGGCTGCACAGCCCCCACGCAGCCCCCCAAGCACCATCCAGCATGGGGGCAGCAGCCGAGCTCCTGCAGCTCCAGCCACTCGTCCCCCCACCTGCCCCTCACGCTCTGCGCCACCACCACCCTCAGCCACACGTGTCCCTCAGAAGGGAGATAACGATCTAAGATATGAGATAACGCTGCTTCCCACCACTGCTGCTTTTCCATCCTCACGTACTTTCATTCGTCACACAGATATCTTCTACCATCTACCGCCAACCTTTGGGCAGAGTAGGCTTCTCCTGAATCAAGTCTTGCTGGTTTTAAGAYGTAAAGAGACATGTTTAGCRGGCACAGTGATGGGYGATGGGTTTATGGTTGGACTGTTAAGATCTTGGTCTTTCCCAAAGCTRACGCTTTTATAAATCTATGTTTTAGAGGCAATCAACACCAGCATTATTAGAATTAGGAACTGTTACAGCCAGGCAAGCACCAGGGATAAGTGAATAGCTAGATGAGTCACCACAAGACACTCCACCTGTAGTGGACACCAATTCAAGACCCTGCTATGGAGCCCTCCCCTTGGGGCACAAAGCTCTCAACCCCCATTTTGCTGCCCTTGTAACACCTAAGTCTAGGTTAAAACTCAGTCTCGAGTTAAGTCTCTGGCCTGACCCTCTCGGGTGCTTTCACTACAGCTCAACAGCGGGAGCGTGGGCTCAAGGACAAGTCTTGGCTTAGGGTTGGCCCCAGAATGACCTTCTCTTGCTTCACCCCCGCTGAGCCAACTGCTCCAAGCACTCAACCTAATAAGGACCAAGGCCTACCACAAACCCCAAGGTCACAAGGCTATTTTGGTGCTTTTATTTTTCTATTAGAGAAGGGGTATTTCTTTCCCACCTACCACCCACGCAGAACCCCAGCCTGGTTGCAGACAGCTTATCCTTCCTGTCTCGCTGTCTCAACCCAGCTACGTGCAAACATGAGTCACTTAGTTTCCATTGGTCTCCTACTGAAGGGTCCCCTGCACTTGCAACCTTAACTGTCCTCTCTCCTTCCGTCTGCACTGAGCAAACCGGTCACACACGGGACCTTCCCACCGTGGCTCCCAGCACAGCATTTCAACATCCATTTCATGGCTAGCCAGGCAGCCCTTGCTGTTTGATATTGCCAAGTAACAAGGCACCAGATCTCCTTGTAACCTATCTGTGCATGTCAGACTGCTGACCAAGCCCATCTAAGACCTGCACAGGAGGAGGAGGAGGAGGTTCCTCTACAGGAAGCCTCAAATACCCACAAGCTGTCAGCAGGGAGCACAGCCCCTGTACCTGCAGCCACTTCTCCAGACGCACCAGCTCCAGCACCAAGCTCCCCTGCTCCCGACTGGGATGCGAGGCTACACATCCCCTGCCTTCAGCAAGATCTACTTCTGATTTGTTGTTATTAAACTATCAGGTAACTTCACTTTCTTTCATTCTCTTGCTAACCACAAATTGCCKTTCGGAAGGATGTCTCACCTGTCTCCATCTCTTGGAATGAGCTGGATGAGACTTAGTCATCYTGTTTAAGGCAGCAGGATCAGCAGTGGAGATTCATTCCAGAGTTGCTTAGCTCCAAACGGTTTTGCTTCTGCTCTTGCTCCGTGGCATTCTCCAGACATCTTATCTGTAAGGAAACAGCATATGACTTGCCAATACTAACTGGAAGATAGAAGCCAAGTTAATCCTAAGACAGAGTTTAACTTACCTTCACCGTTCCTTTTAACTGTCTTTCAAAAAGATTCTGGGTTTGAGGTGACTACCTTACTGCTTTTATCAGTTGCATCTCCCTTTCAGCTTTACCTCTTCTCTTGGACCTAGTGGGGCTTTTCAAACCAGTTACTGAGATAAGGGAGGAGGAAGAACCAACTTCTCATTTACAAGTGAGGCAGGAGAAGCTTCCTCAATGAAACAAAAGTTTCCAGAGTACAATAAGAACTCTGCAGCTTACAAGAAGCAATTCTCCTAGCTGGTCCATRCACATACTCTGACCAGAATTGGAACATACAGTTAAGATTTGCAGGGTTATTCTTGGAGTTATGGGATCCATAAAATCTCCAAGTCACATGCCTAACAATTAACATCCAAGGGATGCAGTAGTAGATACACCTAAGGGGAGAAGTCAGAAAGCTGTGCTTCATGGCAACATGCTGGAAAGTTGCCACCTGACCTTAAAGGCCGTGAACAACAGGAAGATTAGGTGGGGCAGTTCCCAGACAGATTTCTTCAAACTACCTAGAAGGAGAGAGAGAACCCCCCTGATTTCAGTGTTGCAGCTAAGTTCTTACCTTGGTGCTCTCCCTGTAGTGGCTTATCCACTCTGTCCAGACAAGCTTCTCTCCCAGTTCCATGGGCCACCTGGAGCCTCAAGAGGAGAGACWTCAGCACAAAGTCCAGGCAGTCAGGTGTGAGGCTGCTGGACTCCTAACCAGAACAGGGAACATTACTATGAATTACTTAGGCAACTTGACAACAGTTCTAGTTGCCTAAGAACTGAAATGGTTCCTTGGCCATTCCATCCATCACATTCCCCCTTGGTGGCTCTGGTGCCTGCTCACCTCCAGAGAGGAAACTCCAAGGCAGCAGGAGCAGGATTTCACAGGCAGGGCTGTCCCTTCAGTGCAGGGCTGCACTCACATCAAGTGATGATACAGGTGGTCAGTCACCTCCATAGCCATCCTGCTGGGGAACACATTGGTCAATCGCCACCAAGATGTTACAGAACCGAGCTGTCTCTTCAGCCTCCAGCTCAAAGGTCTGGAAGGAGTCTGCCTCCTCTTGATTTGCTGGAAGCCAACAAGCATAGTCTCAACCTTCCTAGCCAGCTGATGACTCCAGCATCCCATGGTGGGAGCTCATCAGCTYTTCTCAGTGTAGAGGCAAGGACATGTTTTACATGATGGAAGATCTCACCCCTCAGGCCCCTGTCTTCTCCCATTCCTCTAGCAGCAGCAAGTTTCATTTTTATARCCACCTCCCATCTTTCTCATACTTGCAGCTTTGCTGCTTGGCTCCACTGCCGCAATCTCATCTGCGATCTTCAGTATTTACAGCAGCCACAGGATACACAAGTCTATCAAACAGCACCTTTTTTCCCCAATGAGACCCACGTCTCAGACAGCTGGGTCTCAGCCATGGGCTATCAGCAGTGCTGTCTGCTTTAAAACCCTCCACTTGATTCTCCTAATCGTTGACCTGCCTGGTACCCTGGAGCACTTGTAAGCTCTGAGCTGCCAGCAGACACCCACCACCAGGCAGATCATGGATGGAGGGAAATTGGATTTGGCTCAAGCCCYCAACTCCAGAGCTAGTGTCGGCCAAAGGCAAGAGCTGCTGAGGACACTGGCCTGCTTTGCCTACCTCGTATCCGTATGCCAAGAGCACTGCTGGCATCGYAGAGCAGGGGCACAGAGGCACCTCACCAGCAGACACATCCACCTCACGCACCTAGGAAGTGAAACACCCACTGATGAAGGCACTTCCCTGCTGTCACCAGCTCTTATTTAGAGGTTTTTCCATACCAGAAATCCAAGYGAGTCCACCTTCAGGACAGACAAGCAAATCCCTGCTGAGAAAGGGTAGACCAGCACACACAGGATTCAGACAAGGGCTCTGCAGAGGAGCTGCGAGCACAAACAGATCACTTGCATCCTCCACCTCCTCCCCGACCCATCCAGTTACTCTGTTAATTAATACTTTTGTTCTGATGTTGTCAACTTGTCTCAAGATTACAGTAATGGCACATTTGTGGAGGTAGATACTTGACTAGATCTGTTCTSGCATGACACCCTCTCTACATTCCCAGGAGCCATAGGATTTTATGAGATCCTTCACCACTCAACCGCATTAGAGCAAGTGACCTTATTCTGAACTAGAAAGTGAAGACATTCTCCCCAAAATTCAGTGATGCATGCACAGAACCATCCCTTAAGAGATCTCTCCCATGTGCACATTACAAAGCTACTCCCCACAGCACACAGTATTTCAAAGTCAAATTTTAAACAGCCCATATATTTTGACCCTTCACACAACCAACATGCTCTTGAAAAGCACCTAGGAGTCAGTACCACAAAGGTCCAGTTGCTACTTCTTACTTTTCACAGGGTGCCAGGACACAACCTTGAGCAGAAACCACCTCGAGCAGCCCTTAGCTTCAGCTCTTGTTTTGCACACCTTCTCTTCTCAAATCTTTTCCTGCTTTTACATCCACAAGCTTTTACTCTTACCTGGAAGAAGAGACACAGAAAATTACACACCAAAACCATGTGGAGAGCAGCACACCTCACTTCACATCCACCCTCTGGATTTTGAGCTTGCCAACAGGCTGCAGGAACTCAGGCTCTGATCTGCAGMACAGCTGCCTCGAGTCAACATCATGATCTCTACCAAACAGCACCTGCTTTGCCCTCACAGCCTGCAGGTGCCTGCTCCTACATCTCCCAGGCCATCACTAGCAATACAACTTGGACTGTGCTGAGCTTTCAGTCACTGAAATTCTTGCCAGCTCAAAGTTGAGCTCATTTTACACCTATCCAGCAGAGATTGACTCAATGAATCAGTGCTTGCACTACCAGAAGACACCTTAGTGAACTCTGCTGACTGTGGCACAGGAACCCCTTCYATAAGGGCTGTTGCCCCCCTGCTCCATTTGGAGCTCCTCTACTTGGAATGCCTGCCAGGTACCACTGCACTCCAGAACAGGCACAATATCAAACCTGGTTTGGAGTTGGATGCAYCCCAATCACAGGCTAAGAAAGCCATCTTGGTAGAGTCAAGTTCACATTTATAACAGAGTCAGGGTTATATGTACATACCTTTTGATAGAGTGCTGGATCTATTGAGAGGAAGGAGGGAACTCTCACTGTGTCTTTTCCCATTTCAGGTCTCAGAACATCACACAGCACCTGYGCATCATGACAACCAACACAACTAGCAACTGCAACTTCACAAGTTTCCAACTCTACTACCCCATTTAYCTCCTCGAATTAACTCTTTATAGCATCATTTTCTTTTTTGGAGCAATTTTCAACGCCCTCGCCCTGTGGGTGTTCTTCTACAAAGTCAAGAGGTGGACAGAAACCAGGGTCTATGTGCTCAATTTGGTCTTTGCAGACTGCTCCGTTATCTGCACCTTGCCGCTAATGGTCTACCTACGCTGGAACAGGTCAGTGCGAGATGAACTCTGCCAGGCTGCAGAAGCCATGTATTTTATCAACATGGAAGTGAGCATCTACATCATTTTATTCATCTCGCTCGACCGATACGTTGCCATAAAGCACCCCCTGAAAGCCAAGGCCTTGAGGTCTCCAGCGAAGGCCGCGCTTCTCTGCGGACTCCTTTGGGTGTCCACCATAGTAGCCACAGCCCTACAACTGAGACAGAGACAGGCCAGCTTCTGCTTTCAGAAGGACACAASCTATCCACTTGTCCTGAGCCTGGTTTCCCTTCTCTTCATTTTTACTCTGCCATTAATCACCTTGACCTTTTGCTCCATTGACATCATCAGGAATTTGAAGAGAAGGTTGAACACCAACTCCCCAGAGAATCAATTAATCCRCAAAGCTATTTATGTTATTTACACAAATATGGCTGTATTTTTAATATGCTTTCTCCCAGCCTACCTTGGCATACTTACCATGTTCATAATGGAAAACACTGGAGCTACTTGCAGCACGATCCGGGTTATGAGGAACTTGTCCTCCGTGACAAGGTGCATCGCCACCTCTAACTGCTGCCTGGATAGCATTTGCTATTATTTTGTGACCAAAGAATTCCAGGAGGCCCTTTCTCTGCCCAAGCACAGCGGGGACAAAACAAATCCAGGCCACCTTTCTCAGATACAKACTGCCTAAAGGAAGGTAAGGAAGAAAACACCAGGCAATGTCATGACATGACAAGGACTCCATTTCACTGGGACAACTATTTCTCTTTCCAGGGGTATCTTTCTCCAGTTTGTCATTACTAAGTTCTACACCTCAGTCGATGTTTCTATTAAACAAGTCTTTATATTTATATGTAAAAGCAGGTATGAATCTGTTCATTAACTTGTCTCCCCTCCACATAATTATGACTCCTCTAAGAAGCCAGGCAACTCCTGTCTTTTTTTAAACTAGGCAACTGATCCTTCCTGTCACCACATGAGAGCCCATATCACATTTTACCTCATTGCATAAGTCAGGTTTACATTATTAAACTAACTCAGGTTCCTTTAATAATCTTACTTGGCAGTAAGGGGAAGTAAGTGGGGAAAGAGTTGCACATGGTACCAGCATATTACTAAGTACACCAGGCTACATTCTWCTGAACTGCTTATTCTTCAAACCAGCAGGACAGATAGACATGAAGAAATACCTTGGAGATGAAAACCCAGTTTCTTCCATGTCACAGAAGACCAGATGGACATTTTAATATCCTTCCTTCTAAGGAGCCCATTAACAGGCTGGGCTACCTTTCCTGACAGGAAAGAGAAAAGGAATAAGTCATTACAAAGACTATTTCAATTGCTTTGGRCCACAGCAAGCACACCAAATGGCTTACCATCAGGAGAGCAGCATCCAAGAGGCCCAGTAAATATTTAGGTGCTCACCCATGAGGAGATACAGAGATCCAGCAGAAAACACTCGGTTCAGACTGAACAAACCTGTAGAAGAAAACAGGTTTTAAAATATTCCAACAACTAGGTGAAAGAAAATTGAATGGACATACCTGGATATGCAGAGTATCACTTCTCATCTTCAACATACTGTTGGGGATGAGCTCTGCTCCTGTCGAGGCACCGTCTTCCTGACCAGCATTGTCCATAGCTGGGTAGACCCTGCCCTGCTCCTCAGGTCACCCCAAACACTTGGCTTTGGGATTCGGTCACAGGCTCTGTCCCAGGCTGGCAGCTAACAGGTTCRGGATAGCAGGGTGCTTCCCCAGGAGGGCATCCAACCCCACAACCTTCTTCTCCTGTGGAGCAAAGAAGAGGAGCTCAAGATTAAATTCTTCAGATATTAGAAATCAGGATTTCATCTAGACCCATGAATTCCCCACAGCTTTTGGGTGAGGCTTACCTGGTGCATCGACTCTCCCGTAGCTCAGATACCTACTTTGTGTGGGCTGCTTTAAGGCAGAGGGAGCACAGCCTTCTTCACTCAGACTTAAGGCACCTGTTTCAAGCAGTAATCATCACAGAAGTCCCAAGGACCAACAGGGCTTTAAGGCAATGCAAGATGAGTCAGCCTCAGACTAAAACAAAAGGCAAGAAATCACTTGCGGAGCCTGGGTGCCACAGTTTGCACAACTGACCTGTTGTTTACTTATCTGGGCCTCACATCTAGAGGATGAGGCTGCAAACACCAGAACTGAGAGCAATCCAGGGCCAACAAACCCCTTGTGCTGCCACCGCCCTCTTTTGAGGAACAGCCYGTGCAGGACAGTTCTCAGCAATTCAGCCCCGAGTTCCTCTTGGACACCAGCTCTGTGGCAGTGCTGCTCTCTTTCCTCACCAGGTATTCACGTCCTCTCCTTGAGCCCAAGCATTTGAGGACACAAAACCCTCTCTGCAGGGGCTGCTGGTCAGCCCACATATACACWGAGCCACGGGCTGCATCACCCACCTCACAGGTCTCCTCAGCAGAGGCAGAATCATGGTATTTCCCCCAGCTTACCTGAAAGGCCAAGCAAACACAACCCCTTGATGCCCCATTCTTGGCCRAACCCACCTCAGGCTAGATACCACCTTGACCCACTGGTCCTTGCAGAGGCAGGGCAGGCTTTACAGCCAGCAAGAAGGACCCAGCCTAAGAGAGCACCCAGTGCCTTCTTGCAGAGCCAGGAGCTCCTCTCACCTCTGTTGCTGCTGCCCAAATGAGCTCCTTACCCCCAGCCTGCCTTCTTATAGGGCTGCCCTCAAGCTGCTTGCTCCCACCTGTGCAGCCCAGGGAGGGCCTTCGTTAACCCTTGCTGGGCTCCTGCTAGCTGSGCACGGATGTTCCCTGGCTTGATGCACAAGGCTGGCTCCCCAGGTTCTCCTGTCCGGTGGCAGCTCAAGCTTGGGGTGTCTGCTTGCACAGGCTGCCCACGTTAACATGCCAGATGTTTTCATAGGTGAAATGCGTTTGTTGCATGAGGCAGCGACCTGCGAAAGCTGCTGTGCGCAGGGCCCGTGCTGCCTGGCCGGGCTGCGCTCTTAGCGGGCTCTCCCTGAGCTCTCCTTGCACATCCACGCACAGCGGCCCGGGCCTCCTTGCACTAACTGGCGTGGAAGGATTGTAGCTGCTGCACGTGGAAGCCTTCGGACACAGAGAAACCAACAATGGGAACCATCCCGGGGGCTGCGAGAACACCACGAGGGCACTCGCGGTTATTARGGAGGTTTTTGCAGGGACTGGCCCTCAGCTGAGCCGTCGGCGCTCTCCGCAGCGCCATCACCCCTGGTCAGCAGTGACAGTGTGTGACGGGGCTTCCCCACCATGGCACCAGGTAGAGACAGAACCACCTACTTGCTGCAAGGCAGGCGGATCTGCTGCACCTGCCACCCGCCTTGCAAAAGGCCCAAGGGGAAAATGCTTCTCTTTATTGTCACTGGGCTGCCTGTCCTGCTGCTGGGCACGCAGGGACCCCTTCCCTCCCCGTTCACAACCGCGGGGCTTTAGTTTCAGCGCGATCTGCTTCCTCCTGACAAAAAACACCAACTTTTACCGCTGAGTTTGCCCCAAGGGCGGAGGGGGGCCGGCAAACGGATGGCAGCCGCCGCGAGGGAAACAACAGAGGGCACCAGAGCCGCGGCGGCCCCGCGGGGCCCCACAAGCGCGGCAGCACCGCGGGAGCAGCAGCCGGACGGCGGGCTCGGCGGCCGCTGCCGCGGCTGCTCCGGCGGACGGCGGCGCTCGGGCAGCCTCGCGCAGGTAACCGCTTCCCTTCCCCGCCGCCCGGGCCGCTCTGGGCCCCGCTTTGGGCCCGGCTTTGGCGGCCGCCCGTCGCGAGGGCCTTCCAGCCGCCCCGTGGGGCTCCGCCGCTCCTGCCCGGCCGGCGCGGGGTGACGGAAACGTGGAGCGTGTCCCGGGCAGCGCAGGCAGGCGGGGAGGCTGGACGCAGGTTGACGGGATGCTGCRATGATGTTAAGGACCCTAACGCCACCCTAATGCGAAAACCTCAGGAGATTCAGGGCCCAGCCTTTCCATTATTTCTAAATTCCACCCTGGAAATTACCTTGTCCCCATATTCCAAGAGCTCTGAGGCGAGGGCGGGTGCTGAGCTTCCCTCCACGGCTGCTGCCTCTGGCTGCCTACCTCCGGCACTACAAGCACCTCACCTCAGCCTTGCAGTCGGATGGTTTTTCCTATGGTTTAGATATGGATGCTTGGAATGCTGACTTATAAGGTAATGTATTTATAAGGCACTGTCGGAATCGGGGAGTTTTCTTTCCCTGCTTTGCTGTAAACACTTGCTAACAAACTGCAAACAGGCTGATTCATCTCAGCCTCACTGCTGGAGCCAGATGCCCTCGGATATTTAAAGGACCAGGAGGTCATCTACAATCTGAGACCCCTTCCTACAACCACAGCCTCGCAGAGGTTGTGGTACGGGAAAGCCAGGTGCAGGAAAGCCTGAGAAACACCCAAGGAATATCTGCACGAGGAGACTGCTTGTGAGTCCCTTGGATATTGTGGCTAGCTGCCCGTGAGGCAATTGTGCCACTTTGATGGGTGAGCGAAGGGCTGTGAAGAGCAGGTTGGTCGGTGGCCGGTTGGTTGGTACCTACCGCTCTTGGTAGCTCAAGGAGAGGCCTGGGCATGAGGCCCCAGACCAGAGAGGTTGGTGTGGGAGTAGGATGATGCCCCGTGTTTAAACGAAGCAGCACAGGGTCCCCTGTGCCTTGGTAGGCTGTGTGGAACTTCTCTGTAGAGCAGAGGACATTCTTGAAACAAGGACAGCAACTGCTCATTAAAATCAGATTTTTTTGTTTACATATTGCAGACTTGACAGGAAAAACAAGGTCTGTGTAGCGTTAAGTGAACTGCTTTTGTTGTAATACTAAAAATCACACCCATAGGTGAGAAGACCCTTGCTCAGGTGAAGGCTCTTTCCCTGGGCTAACAATGGCCATGATGAACAAGGAATATTATCATAGTGTGGAGATGACTGAGCGGTCAGTGTAAGAAGGATGCACTTGGGGAAAATCCGGAGAGGGCAAATATGGGTTGGGAGGCTAGGAGGGTGTTCTTGCTTGGTGGGAGCCTCCCCRAGCACCTAGGCTTGCTCGGCTCCAAAATGAACAGGTAAATGACTCCTGGATCGCTGCACAGCGGGTGGGAAGCTGCTTTTTGGACAACATCTTGACAGTCTGGAGTTTAAAAGAAAAACCAGGAACAGAAGAGCTGTTAGGGCARGTCTCAAGGAGACAGGGGAGCCCTCAGCAGGGCTGTCGCTCGCTCCTCCTTAYATCTCCGCTTCCTCCTCTTGCAGCGAGAGGCCGGCATGGAGAACTGCCCTCAAAGCAACGACACGGTCCAGGAGGGTGTCCTGCTCTTCCAGCTGGTTATCTACATCCCGGTTCTCACCTTCGGGGTCCTGCTCAACGCCATTGCCTTCTGGGTCTTCTGCTGCAGACTGAAGAGGTGGACCGAGACCAGGGTGTACATGATCAACCTCATGGTCGCGGACTGTTCCTTGCTCTTTGCTCTGCCTTTCCTCATCTATTTTCACCGGCGAGAGCACCCTACGGGGAAGCTTTGCTTCACCATACAGTGTATCTACTTCACAAACATGCCCATGAGCATCCTCATCATCACGATGATCGCCATCGATCGATACATTGCGATAAAGTTCCCTCTAAAAGCAAAAACGCTTCGGTCCCCGCTGAAATCAGCTGCCATGTGTGGGCTTCTATGGATAATACTCTTAACATATGCCTACTTCCACCCAGAGTTTGAAGAAGGAAAGGAACAGTTTTGCTTTCAGAAAAGGACTTCTCAGCCTAAATATTCATCRTTACTCTCCATTTGCTTTGGGTACTTTATTCCCCTGGGGATTGTGGTTTTCTGTTCAGTGGAAGTGATCAAATGTCTCAAAAAGAAGATGTCCTCAAGCTCTCACGAGACAAAGCTGATCCAGAAGGCGCTCCACATTATCTCTGTCAATTTGTGCGTGTTCGTTTTATGCTTTTCCCCCCTCTACATTGTCCTGCTCTTGCGGTTTGTGGTGGATCTCGCCGGAGCCTGTTCTCTCATCTCAAAGGTTAGAGTGTCTATCCAGATCTTGGCGTGTTTAGCAAATGCCAACTGCTGCTTGGATGGTTTTTGCTATTACTTTGCAGCCAAGGAGTTTCAGGAAACTTCCTCTCTGCTCCCCCCGTGTATGTTCATGAGGTCTAGGATGAATCAAAGTCAAGAGTCGCAGCAAGCCACAGACCAAGTCGTGACGTAAGAAAAGCGCAGGGCAGCGCTGCCGCCGCTTCCGTCCCGTTCACTGTTAAGGGCTGCTTCTCGCTGAGGTTTGGAGGCAGAGGGAAGGGGACCAACAACTGTATCGGTTGTAGGTATAGGTATAAATGTAAAAAAACAAAAAAAAAGGGGGGGGGGGGGAAGGAAAAAAAAAAGAAAAAAGGGGAAAAAATCCTCTCAAAGAGAGCCAGTGCTGACTTGACTTTTGTCCTTCTGACTTCATTGACTTGAACACAGCTCTGGCTAGAGCCTCAGCTCCGGTTCAAGTGTTTCCCCTGGAAGAGGGAGTGTCACAGGGTATGGAGAGCAGATCAGGTGGTTGGTTAGGTCGTGTACTCATTTATAGCATATGCATGCAGCTGAACAAGAGTAACTGAGCTCCCTTTCATCAATACACAAATCCATTTTTAATACTTTAATGCATATCGTCATTAAAAACAAGCACAGTATTACAGTTCAAAGCCTAATATATCTGTACTGCTTACAGTAAAAGATTTGCCCTTGCAGGGGTAGTTTCCTGACACCCAATATGTGTTTGGGCCATCAGAATTAGCTATTCCTGCACGTGAGCCAGCAAACGGCATGAGAACATTGCCTGTCCCTGCCATATAACATTTGTATTAACCTGCAGCAATGTTGTGATAGTTGTTAARACTGAAGTCATAAAGGAGTGGAGATGACAAAGTCATAAATAAAGGTATTTAAAAATAAATAAATAAATAGAAACAAGTTGCCCAGTGTTATTATCCACACAACATTCAGCAGCAGCACGTAGCGTTGCACCTAGCAGGTACAGGCTGTGTAGGATCTGCAGGGGGGTCACATCTCATGGCCCGGCTGGTGACGGGTGGTCGTTTCTGCCCACGCTGTCCCAGGAAGGGGGGCAAGCAGAGATGGGCGAGCGACGCAGTCTGAGGCCTCCCCGATCCCCCTCCGGCTGCGTACGAGCGGTGCCCAGGGCAGTTGCTGTAGGATATGTAGGCAGAGACGGGGCAGATTGGCAGCTGAGGTGTCCTGGAGCCTCCCTGTGTGATGGAGCATTTGGATGCCCGTGTCACGATTGCTTCCAGTGCCCAGAGCAGCTTCCCACAAGACGTTTCCCTGAGCGGGGACATGAGGCTCCGTGTCCTGGCAGGACGCCGTGTCCCCCGCATCTCCCAGCCTTGCTGCCCCTCTGAGCACGTGGGGTTCATGGCAGGGGAATGGCCCTATCGCTCACGTGGAGGCATTTACCTCCTTTCATCCATCACACGGGGAAGCCTTGATCCAAACCACGCTGCCCCCAGACCAGACAGCTCTTTTAATGCCTTTCTTCCTGAGCACCTAAATCCTCCGCAACATCTGTGCCCGCGGCCTCCGTGCACAGGGAGTCCCTTCCCTCCCTGCAGCGAGGTGCCAGCAGACCAGCRAAACTGTTAAGCCACAGGCGACGCAAGGCGAGCTCCCAACGCAGCGGAAGGAAGTAACCTAAATAGAAACCTGGTCCGAGGCAAGAGTCAGCATCTAATCTCTAGTGCTGACGGGGACCCGGCCGCTGGATGCTTGCTGCCAGTCCCCTGTAGCACCACCTGAAGGAAGGGGATATTTGGTGAGAGCAGGCTGGCAGGCAGCACTTGCATCTGTTTATGCTCTGGTTTCACCTACTGTTGCGTTGCTGCAATGCTGTTTTTTCTCCTCTTGGGCAGYGTTTATTCACTTCAGAGAGCACATACAGTGACAGATATACATACACTTTCACCGATACTTCTAGGCTAAACTGAGGTAAGGGGGAAAGCCAGAGACAGGATTTTGAATTGATGGAGTCAAGAGACAGCGGCCACGGACCCACGTGCTTGACGCACGCCGCTGCCTGCAGGGATCTCCCAGCTCTCCCGCGCCCACGAGGGGAAACCCCAGCACGGTGGAGGCTACGAGAGCAGCCTGCAGCCAGCCCGTGTTTGCAGGCCCGCAAGCATCTCCAGCCACGGTGCACTGAAGCCATAAGCTTGGCTTTCCCTGCCTGCTTTTCCCAAAGCCCCAGGTCCTCCTGCTTGCCAGGGSATTAGGAGCCAGCACCGCTCTTTTGGCCTCAAGGGTTTGCTCTCCCACCACTGCCAGGGTGAATTTCTAGTTGCTGCTCACAGAAATTAGTAAGAACCTGCAGACGGGCTTTGAAAAGCAACACAAAGCCTTGGCCTGCCCATGTGTCTAGGAAAGAGGGCTGCGTTTACCCAGTGTGCTCCAAAGCCACGAAACGCCAACACACGACAGCCCCAGATCTGAGGAGGACAGCAAGGAGCAGCTTTACCAAAATAATAAAAACAAAAGACAAAAATAATCCTACCAGCTACAGCTTTCTCCTATGATTTTGTTTTGAGTGCTGTGAACCKTCTGCTCCCGCTCTCTGCTCCCGGGGCTGGACCCTTTTCCAGGCCAGGAGTCCAGTGGAGGTTCCTTGTCGGCAGCACCAGCTGAGCTCCAGGGAAACCTCTGAATTTCCTCCATTACCTGCCAAATTCTTCCCAAGTCCAGGTGCAGCCACACTGGAAGCCGGCAGAGAAGGTCATTTAGAGACCACCTAGGTGTGATTTCTCCCCAAACTCAATCACTGAGGARGACTTCCCTGCCAGGGCTGGTGCAGGGCTTGCTGTAATCCCACAGCATCCACTGAACCTGGCTGGGCAGCACTGCCAGGCAGCAAGGACACAAATGCTGGGGTCATGTTATGCAAGCTAGATATAGCTTGCATATATATACCTATATGTATGTACCTTTACCWGTGGAGACTGGGCCTGGTAGGCCTTTATTTCACAGCCCAGCAGCAGATGACATGCGTGAGGATGCGTGGCCCAAGCCAAACCCAAGAGTCTGTAATTAATGTACTGAAATTACTGAAAAAGAGTAACATGGGACAATCACCAGACTTGCTCTGTGATTCAGGGGGTTTAAATATATAAAATATCTTTCTAGTAGCACATATTGACTCTAAGTTGGCTATTAGGGGATGGACTTTTCATTCCAGGTGTACAGGCAGCAAAGTCCTACATAATGAAGTACAAAATGATTTTGTGGCTTTGCCCAATGGTGATAAGAACAGCTTAGAAACAAAACAGAAACCAGGATTTTCAGCTCTAATGGGCAGAGCAACATCAAGTACAAATAATGTATCAGATTTAGATGGGCTCTCCAGGTGCTACTGCAAATCCTTCCACAAAATCACCAGCTTTGCAGCATTAGATGTGGCAGAGGTTAAAAAATACCTTTCCCCCCTGTCAGTAGTAAATCACAAATCTGAGTCAGTATCTCAGGATGGTTCGAATTTTAGCCCTGCAAATCCAAGCGGGATATAGACAGTCAAATCAGTGTGAGACACAGTCACAGCCAACCTGTTATTCCACTCCATGTCAATGCTGACATCCAGCTCCCTGAAGAGAAGTCCTCAGACAAGCCAGAGGCCARCTCAAAGGTCTGTAAACTGCTCCCAGTGACAACCCCCAGCTCTTGTTTCTCCAGGTAAGGCATAGGAAGCAGCAGGCATGAGGTGATGGTGCCTCTGAATGTGCTCCTGGCCTTCAGGACCTTGGCTCAGGGACCTGTTGAGTCAGGGAAGGATTTCAGGTTTTTCCTCTTTACCATTTTATTCTGTTCTTTTCTCTTTTCATTCTTTTGGTTGCTTTCTGAACCCCTCTAACCATTATTATGTGCAACATACTGGGACAAGGGATCACTGCAGCCGAACTAGGGCCGTGCTTAGAAGTGTCTTTCTAACCATTTGCTGTCTGCAACATGCTGTGGATCATGATATAACCACCTGCCAACAATGTAAAAAAAGGCAATTCCCCATCACAGAAACTACTTACCATCCAAGGAACCATAAGATCTCCTCTGCTTCACGTGACTTTCCTTTTGCAGAAGTGCCATCGTGGTGGAAGCTGCAAGGAGCAACAGCAGCACACAATAGTCACTAAGTAAATCATTTCGGTCTCACTTTTCCTTTTCAGACTATTGTTTAGTATTCTGGCTTTATGGGCATTTCACTTCAAGCAGAGCAGATGGACAGAGACAAGAGTGTCCACAACCAGCTTAATCCTTACAGACTATTGTTTGCTCTTCACTTTGTCCTTCTAAGTCTCTTAAAAACCACCTATCACTTCAGCAAAGCCACACGTGTCAGTGTTGTCACCCTCCTGGCTGTTAGCAAATACTTTGCATTTAACCAGGTCGTGAAAGCAAAAGCCTTCACATCCCCGTTAGTCTCTTGTCTTGTTTGTACCGTGCTCCGAGACTGGTGGCAAGACTCACTCCCCTGGTTAGGCCAACGATGCTCACTAAAAATAAAGGACTTTTCCTGAAAACAGTTCAAAGGACCATCAAATATATGGCTGGTCCTGAGATCCCCTTCTGAATTTTTTTATCCCATTGGCTATTACGAGCACCCACGCCACACGGGTTACTATGAAGCCTGTGAAAAAGAGGACGGTGTGTTCACMGTGGGCAAGGAAAGCTAAGGACACCGCTTCCAAAGCCTGGCTGTCTTTATAATGTTTTCTTCATCTTGTGAATGGGCAGCTCGGCCCATTCACAAGACACTCCAGCAAGGAGCAGATCCCCAACGCGCTTGAGCGTGTGGCTACTTGATGGGAAACACCAACTGCCCTTGGAGGCCATTTATGGCATTTACACCGCTTTATGTCCAAGGAATTTCACAATTTCAGAGTCCTTTTCCATTACCCAAGTCTGTACCTTTTTTCTTTCTTTTTTTTTCCTTAAATTAAGGAAGGATCACAGGCCATGTACTGTATTAAAATAAACGATGACAATCAATAGCTAACATTATTACATATAACCACGTTTCCTGCATATAGAGCTGTACGAAATTATTACATTTTGCTTGCAGGAACTATCCTGAAGTCTTCCACCATTCATGTTCCAAGCTAAAAAAAAAATTAATTGTGCCTTCTGCTTGTTGTAAAGGGGAAAGTTGATTACTTCCCTGCCCCTGCCATAATTTTTGACATTTGTACTAAATACTACAAAAGCCAACAAAAAACAAAAATTTTGACACCTTTCTTCAACCTGAATTTTACCTCGACTCTCCGAGTGCTCCCACTAACTGAGAGGGCATCTGGACCGTAATAAGCCATCCTAGAGCCCTGGAATAGCGATCCATGGGGATAACCACTTCATCACCCATGAACCTTCCCATTCCCCAGCCCTCGATTCCGGCTAAGGATATTGCTGAGCAGTATCCCTGGGTCTGTCCGTGTCCCCAACAGGGAGAGCTTGCACTTTGTTAAACGTGATTTTGTAAAAAAACAAAGTGAACAGATGCCTATAACCAGACACTACTTTTGTGCAAACGGTAAATGTTCTTTTGCCTGAAAACAAAACCCAAAACACAATAAAAGCAGTAGAAGAAACRCATGTAAACTGCTCTTACCCTGTAAAGGGATGTCTGTTGAGGTCAGCAAAAGCCTTTTGCACCAAGTGGCGCTGGGGAAGGACTCTTGACCTCGTTTGTGGATATTCTGCTCCTTATCACAGTGTCACGTGTGGTTCTTTGTACACTGGTCAGGCCCAGGAGATCACACACCACTTAATTAAACCTGAAAACCTCTTTGAAAAACGCATGGGCCCCCRCTGCCCTCCACGGTGCTTCTGGGCTGCTGCTTCGCTCTCTCATTCCCAAGAGGCTGCTATGCCCGGCAAAACCTGGAAAAGGGGTCAAAATAAGACAYGAAGAGCCCCAAGGACCCAAACGGAGGCAGGGTGGGGAAGAAGGGGCCTTTGGGTGGCTGCAGTTGCCAATTCCCGACCATCCCTGCCAATGCCCTGCTGTGTGCAGGCTGCTCCGGCCCCACGGCGGGCTGGGAATCCTGCCCGCACAGCCAAGGGCTCCCCGTTTACCCAGAACCTCCTATTTATCCACAGCCACTAATTCTGCCACCTGAATTCCTAGGGATATTTAGGATTTTCAGCCCCATTCCCTTAGGATCCAGCAGTTTTCCAGGTTATTGCATCCATAAATCGTTCCGCAGATTGTATTGAACTGGCTATACCTAAACACCTTCGTAAGAGAAGCATTAAATGAGCTATTTCAAGACAAAAGCCACAAAACCACTGTGTTGTCTGTTAACATTTAAGACAGATACAATCTCCCTGTCCCTTAGAAAAAAAGGGCGCTAACAATGACCCAGTCTCTATATGAGCAAATGGTTGCTGCAGTCAATGTTCAGCCTTGAGAAAAATAAAAAAGCAGAAGGTTTGTGAAGAGGATGATCAAACTGGAAGAGAGGAAATGGGCAAACGGTCTCAGTTGCCAGAGTTTAGAGACAGCGCCAAGTCTGTGCGTATCGGGACTCAAACTGTTATTTTGCAGGTTTTCCCCCCTAAAAATAGGGCTGCTTCCAGACTCGCAGTTTCGTTTTGATCAAGAACTGGTGTTACAACATTGCAGCTTCCCGTGAGAAAGCAAGGGGGGRAAAAGAGAAAAAACCACCCTGAGTATGAGTGTTGTGGAGCCGCGGGGCTCTGCAGGGCAATGCGAGGTCACTGCTACCCAGACAAGCCCTAGGGCTGCACGACAAGCCCTGTGCAGAGCTGCCAGGAGAGGGAGAACAAGTTACTGCTGGGACAGTGAAAGTGTCACTTGCCACAACACTCACAAGGCCAGGGCGTGCTGAAAGCTGTAACAGCCGGTGAGCATCGATTCTCCACGGCACATATGGTAAAACCTGGGATGGGAAGGAGGAAACGGGCTCTGAGCAACCACCGGAGCCTGTGGAAGGTGGTTGGTGAGGAATCAGGGAAGAGAAAACACAAGGAAGAGGATCCTGATGTAGCAGCATCAAGGAACCAGGTATGAACCCAAAACACCACCACCAGAGTCTGGACTCCCCTATGGAGACATGTAAGATCTCATTAAACAGCCCTCAATCACAGCTTTGCCTACCAGTAGCAGGGGTTATTTTCACATATCCTAGTAAACCCGCTGACAACAATTCCATGCTTTCCAACTGAGGACACTGTCTGTCCCTCTGCTGAAGTGAACAGCAGGTCCAAGCACAGTGCTGCACAGATGCAGTGAGCTGAGCAACCTCCAGGCTCAATTTCGAGGCAGATCACGGGCCATGTTAGTAGCAATGGCCATGGCATAGACATAAGAAGTGCACAGGGAGCCCTTGGAGATGATGACAAGTGGAGAATCACCCAGGAACTGGATGATTTTTAAAGCTGAAATACTAACAAGAATCATGTCATGGAAATAATGGTGCTTTGGTAGCTTCCCTTCACGGGACTCACCTTGGCATGGGAAGTGCCCTGGTGTGGGGCATCAGCAAGGTCTCCTGGTCCACCACGCTCCAGATCAAGCTCGCACGGAGCATGTACCTGTGAGAGCTCAGGTAGGGAAGGACAGCAAAAGAAAAGCTGTAGGAAAGTGGGAACAGATTGTGGCAGAGTGTGAAAGAACTTCTCAGAGAGAACTACTTAATGTGAGTAACAATGTCAGTAAAAAACCTGAATCATCTGTCCATGAAGGAGGMAGAAAAAGGCGAAGCCAGTTCCTTACCTAGAGATTTTGGAGCAGGCATCTGAAGGCCAGAGGGCGTTTGCTAAGTGCTGCCAAGCACACGAGGTGGCACGGAAAGCGACGACGGCCAAGAATTCACGAGGTCACAGGGTCACGGCTCTTCATTTTCTCAGAATTACTRGCTGATGGGAAGTATGGAAGGTGAGAAAATTACTGTTGATTCAGACTGAAACCCGGCTATGAATGACACAAAACTGCCTGCAAACCACAGCAACTCACCTCTGCAACAGCTCTGCGAGGAGGGCCCGCGAGGGGCCCGCCGGGGCCGCCTCCGACCCGGGCTCGCTGTGCAGCACACGCAGCTCCAGACCCAGCGTGCGGGGCAGCCGAGGGGCCCGGGAGGCTCCTGGAGGGCAACGATGCGGCGCCGAACGTCTTGCACGGCTTGCAGGGCCAGGGAGCTTGGCAGGCAGACCACCCATGGATCAATAAGGCACTGGAAAATGAACCRAAGGGGGAAAAAACAACAAAAAGGTCGTGTGATAACTGGATAAACCGCTTCAAATACGCATGGCAGACGAGCCTCTCACCTCTGCAAGGCTACCTGGGAGCGCTGAGGCGAGGGGTGGTGCGAGCGAAGGCCGTTTCGGAGGAAGCTCAGCCCTGGGCGGGTGCTCGCTCTGCGCCGGCTTCGCTGCGCCGCGGGGATGGTCAGCGCTGCACGAGCTGCACGAGGCCACGCGGCGCCACCGGCCCGGGCTGCTCCGGAGCAACGGCCGGCCTCCCGGAGCGCAGCAAGCAGGTAAATCCTCGTGTTGGTCGGGTTGTTCTAGCTCTGATCCCGGGAAACCCAAAGGGCTGCGCGGGAGCAGGTTGGTCCCAGCTCATTTTYAAAGGCCCGCTGGGGTTCTGGCCGCAGCGGCCGGCGCTGGAGGCGGCTCGCACCGCTGCAGGGCTGCCTCACCCTTTGCTGAGACTCCCCGCTGCCTCGTTATGATCCACACTGGTTTCTCCCAGGCCAATAATTCGTTCCTCCTATTCCCAACACGGGGGAACCAAGGCACGTAGCTGCTGCAGACGCAGAGTCAACAGTTTTACCTCCTCAGAGGAGGTGTCAGGGCAGGATTCCCTGGTAATTCAGGTTCCAAGGCTGCCAAGGAGCTGTGGGAATGGGGAGACTCCTTAGCTCTGCCCTAGGGGCTGCTTGCTCGGGATGCTGCACACAGAGCCCCTTCTCCCTGGAGGGAAAACTCCACAGACACCTCATGGTCCTCACGGAGGATTAAATGATACCTAATAATAACAACAGATCTAGCAGTAATTGCCCTTGTTCTRTGAATAAGAGGTGCTCAGACAGAGCTCAGGATTGAAGGGGAGGAAGGTGTTCCTTTGCTGCACAGCTCCTGGAGCACCTGGAGGGATCCTGGCTGGCATCTCCCGAGCACTGCTAGAAAGGGAGGGATGAGAGCTGGGGTTAGACATCTTTCCGCTACGGAATGGGCTAAAGCCCCYCACGTCGCTGCCGGCTGCAGGATATTCGCTTCTCACTGATCTGGGGCAGGTTCAGCACGAGGCTTTTTCCACCGCAGCYGCTCACCAGGAGCCTCCGCCTCTGCAGGCGCCCCAGTAACAGCCTGCCCTTCTCTCCCCCATGGGTGATTCACGGCTCTCTCCGTCCCCTGACCGCTGGATAACCCAGGACTGCCTGGAAAAAGAACCGCTGCCGGTGGCTTTCGGCATCCACGAAGCACAGAGGTGCACAAGGCACCAGCTGAAACACTCACCCGCGCTCGGCAGTGCAGACTCTAACAGGTTCATCTGCTTTTCCAGCCTCTAAGAGGTTCAATCTGCTTTTCCAGGAACCCGGCCTCTTACCGCCTCCAAAATGAACGGCACCAGCTGCAACATCACCGCCTACGAAAGCTTCCCGCTCATCCAGCTCTGTGTTTACATCCCGGTTTTCCTCTCGGGCAGCGTGCTGAACGCGCTGGCGCTGTGGGTGTTCTGCTGCAAACTCGACAAGTGGACAGAAACGCGGGTGTACATGGCCAACTTGGCTCTGGCCGACTGCTCGCTGCTCTTCACTCTGCCCTTCAAAATCCTCTCCCACTTCTACCACATGAAGGCGGACAGATGGTGCCTGTTTCTGGAGAGCGCCTACTTCACCAACCGCTTAATGAGCATCGGCGTGATCACCGTGGTAGCTGCTGACAGGTACCTCACTATCAAGTATCCCCTGAAAGCCAAGATGCTGAGGTCTCCCCTGAAGGCCGCTCTTGCCTCTGGGTTCCTCTGGATAGTCATCATCGGAACCGTCCTCCTCGTTAAAAAAGTGGAGACCCGGGAGCAGGATGAACTTTGCTTTGAGAAGCTTTCCACCGAGCCCTCGGTGCCCACGCTGGGCGTCATCATCGGGGGCTTCTTCGTGCCGCTCATCATCTTGAGTTTTTGCTCCATACAGGTCATCGCAGAGCTCACGAGGAAAAAAAAGGAGAARTGCCACGAGGAAAAGCTCATCAGGAAGGCCGTCTACATTGTTTCTGCAAACATGGCTGTGTTCATCCTGTGCTTTTTGCCTCTTTACATCGGGCATCTGCTTCGCTTTATTTTGGACTCCACCAGCTCCAGCTGCGCCRCCATCCAGCGGGTTAACAACTTCGTCCACCTCGCCTCGGTCCTGGCCAACGTGAACTGCTGCCTCGATGCCATTTGCTATTACTTCGTCACCAAGGAATTTAAGAGAGCCTCGCCCAAGCTGGCGAGGTCGAGGTCGGAAGGCAGCGAGGCTGCTGAAAGCTCCGCTCGCTCCCACGCGGAGCAGCCCGCGGCCCGACGCGCGCAGCCCGCGCGCCACGCGGGGACCTCCTGCGCACGGGAGCAGCCGAGGCAAACGAAAACTGCCGCCCGTTAAAAAGGCAATTCCAGATCCTGAGGCGACGGCCTAGGCTGCCACAGACGACCCTTTGCCTTATGCAAATTTGAGCAAACTGGTAGTTTTCTGCTGTAAAACCTTCTCATTTTCACTGGAAACCCAAAGCAAGTASAGGCGGTGCCAGGGCTTTTTTGTTCCCCTTGGGGCAGTTTTTACGCAGCTGACAGAGAAACAGATTCTTTCTTGCAAGGATCAAACAAGAAAAAAACTCCTCAAAAACTTTGCAGAGAAGAAAAGATATGTTTCTATAGGTTGCAAATTTTCCTGTTTTTTTTTTTTTTCTTTTTTTTGGGGGGTGGTGGGTGTAATAAGTGCTCAGTCACAGTAGCAGAGGGACATGGATCCTGCMTTACACACGTTTACAGCCTCGTTCAGACCGTGTAACAGCCAGAGAACTGTCACCAACTGCAACACCAGGTCTGAGGGATTTGCAATTGTCCTGTAGAAAAGCTTCACACTGGAATCACTTAAGTCAAATGGCTTTTCCGATACTATCCAAAAAGCTGGGGGGGAGGTCTCTCCAAGGTCATTAAGATAAAGCCTTGCCTAAARAAAGTAGCAAGTTATGACAAAATACTGAATATAAATAAAACCCTTTCTACTGGCACGGAGTAGTCTTCATAAATTAAATGTCAAGGGGTTTGGTGCCTGTCCCCAAGCAGGGCAGCTCATATCCCGTATCAAGACCCTTGCAGCCGGTTCAAGCTGCTACCAATCCTGGGATTTCCAAAGGCAGAGCAGCCCATCCTGCCCCTCCACATATTTTATTCTCCAAAGGGGGCAAAACAGATAACTTGTCACCTCCACAGCCACATTCCAAGAGCCCTCGTGTGCTGCTGGGGTGGGAATGTGCAGCCAGGCACGTGCTGGGGCCCTGTGTGCCCAGTGCCAGGGCGAGGACCAGTGAGCAGAGTGTGGGTGCCAACACCTGCCCCTTTGCACCACGCACCAAAAGAAACGGGCAGCCAAGCTCCGTCCCACCCAAAATCCAAGAGCAGCATCTGCTGATGCATCTCCACTTCTACAGCTACCTAAGGTGTATTTGCTGTATTAATTTCAGAGCCCTGTGTGCCAAGGGCGCAGAGATTTGCGAGCAGCAGGGCCTGATGCCAGCACGGCGCTCYGGCCCTGGCGAGCCCCTCGGAGGCTGAGGTGCAGCACAAAACCAAGAGCTATTTCAGATGCAGCAGGAAGACAGCGTTTCCCGGCCGGTAACCGCTGATTAATTGGGCCGGAGGGGGCACCAGGCTTCCCACAGCACACCCGCTTTGGGCAGGCTCTTGGCTTGCCCCGAGGCGGCGCCTTTCCAAGCGGCACGTCCACCTAGCAAGAAACACCACGACGCTCGGCCCAACGACCCAGCCATGCCAACCTCGAATTAAAGTCTCCTTTCTATCTACTAGGACCATCCTTTGGCTTCCTGACTCGGAAGGCCACGCTCTCCCACACCATGCAGCAGCAAGCCACAATCTCCTGACATTTCTGGGTAGGGTAACAACATTCTGGAGCTGAACATGATCCGGGTGTTTGCAGCCAGGACAAGATTCCTCTGCCTCTTCCCTTGCACGTTGGGAGATTCACAGATTCACAGAATCTGTGAATCCAGGACAAGATTCCTCTGCCTCTTCCCTTGCACGCTGGGAGATGTCACTGCTACTGGAAGCGAGCCTGCACCCTGTGCCACAGCTGATGATAACCATCGAGGTGGAGCCTTGTCTAGCTTGCTTTGATCTCCCTACAAAAAAACACCCAGCAATCTCACCATATTTGCCAAATTTTTGAATATTTGCAATTTCGCTTCCTTAGCTGTACATGTGCTCTGCCTTGCAGCCTCGCCGGGTTTCCCTGGAGCCAAGCCTGGGAAGGAAGGCTCACCCTGGAACGTGCCGGGCCCCGACGGTGCTGCCACGAGGAGGGAGAGCAGACTGCAGCCTGCACCCCGCGCGTCTAACCGGGCACCCAACGAGCACCAGCGCCAGGCAAGCCTGCCCTCCCTGGCAGCGGTGGCACAGAGGCCACAAGAAGCCTCTTACGCTGACACCTCCCAACAGATTATCCCAACTCYGGGGCATACGGAGGCTGGACACAGGAAGAGTTGGAGGCTGGACACAGGTGACCTGCAGATGCCACCAGCTCCCTCCCAGGAGGTGCACGCACAGGCTCCTTCCCCAGTACAACCTAACACACACATATACGGATACATATATACATATATACATACATATATATATATATATATATATATATATACACACACACAGCCTGTAACTTGCCTGCCACAGACTGCAGCACCCAGCTCCTCTCTCAGTTCTGTTACGTCAAGGCTGCTCCCTTTGGGGCGCTGGGAAGGCCCCCTTGGATAAGGCAGCGTGGGAGGTGGCCGCACGGGCCGTGGAGCCACCGCTGCACGTGCAGACTGTCCTCACGTGTCACACCTGCAGGGCTGGCACGATGCACAGACGGCTGAGAAAGCACGAGTAGGGTGTGCAGTGACAGAAGTTATCCTGGACTTTAACAGGATACCTTTATGTTTTCTCTTTCCTGGACGGARGTGAACAGAGGATTTGCAGCAGATGCCACGGGCAGTGCGTAGAGAGCAGCTGGAGGATATTCCACCTTTCCTCTCCCCTCTGCCTTTGCCTGGGAAGCACTTTGTCTTAAGAACTTCCACCCCTCCTGTAGCAAAGGCGAGATACACACGGAGCAAGGAGATAAAATACAAGCACAGCTGGCGAGGATGAGGTGGATGCCGACCTGCAGTCCCATTCCTGCAGGGCAAGCTCTTTCCAGGAGCCCTGGCATATCCCAAATCCAGTCTAAGGACTGCCCCAGCTCGCAGCGAGGAAGCATGTCATTTCAATAAAAAAAGAAAAGAGAGGGTGAGAAAAAAAATAAAACATGAAAAACACCAAGAAGCSAATGAACTGACAGGCCCCTCATGCGTGACAAGGCCTTGGGCGTGGAGGGGCTCCGACACCAAATGTGGAAGAGAAACCCAGACACCACAGTGGTGTTTCAGGCAGCCCCACGGACCACATCCTCTGCCAGCCCTGCGGAAGGAGCACAGCCCCGGGGTCACAAAAGCCCAGGTGGAAGGAGCACCAAAGTGCTACTCGGGTGCTAAGTGCGAAGCTGCAGTCAGCAGCAGCCCCCTCGCTGCCTGCGCCTCTCCGCTTACCTTGGGGCACCCACTTCTGCTGCCAAGGAAAGGGATGAGCWCCCAAGCCCTGGCGACGAGAGCAATCCAGATTGCAGGCACAGGACCACGGCGGGCATCAGCCTCAAGGTCTCCATCCACAGGGCCACCGCATCACCAGGAAACTGCAGCTGGGCTCACGATCTTTTCCTGAGTCTAAATCACCCAGGTCCCTCAGTGCTGTTTGCCCTAAARCTGACGCAGAGCCTTATTTTCACAAAAATTCAGTGTCTCTCTGTAAAAGCAGCAATTTTCTGGGAGAAAAGCTGCAGTTGAGGAAGAGCAGAGCACCCTGGAGGGAAATGGGGCACGTCCCGCTCCTCCGTCTYGCGCCTGGCGCTTTCCAACAGCTGCTGACACTATCAATCCATTTCTAACACGTTTTGTGTAAAAAAAGGAACCAGTATTAGACTGAGGTAAATCACAGAAGGTCTRTTCACCAGAAAACCATAGCAAAAATAATAATGATAAGTGGAAGGAAGACTAAAATATTAAAATATTCATTTTAAGATGACAGCTAAGAAGAAGCTAGAAGGAAAAGATCTCCTAACGCTTCTAAAATCTTTAGATTTGAGAATAAACATTGCGAGGAGCACAACCCTCAACCTCCAGCCAGAAGGTAAGCAACACATCAGTCAACGCAGAGGGAAAAATACTGACTTTTTTCCCTTCCTTCCCGGCACTGACAACAGAAAGCAGCAGTGTGATATGAAGAGTGGGAGCACAGGGGAATGGGCATAGACAAGAGGAACAGAAAGCGAGAAAGCAGCCAGGAGAGAGACACTTTGTGCGGAAGAAATGACAGTGGCCGGGGTGTGAAGGATGGTGTGGACAGAGAGCAGCTTCTGTGCAAAGTCAGTTCCTGCTGCGCTAGATTTGTGACGTTAGAGAAACCAGGAGTTCCCCACAATTCACATATCTAAAAAGGGGGCAATGGGTAGTTTAATCCATGTTGTATTTCACATAACGTGCTTTATTTTCTTAAAGTCTTGATTCTAAAATGTTCTGCAGGAGCCAGGAGGTCCAGTAAATGTTCTCCTGTTAGGACTTCCTTTAAAGTAGGTTTCTTTTGCAAYACAGTGATTAATTTCCGTGTTTAGGCTGCCATTTCAAGTGTCCCAAGGAGTTACACTCCTACAGTTCTCTYTGTTAGACCCTTTCACCAACATCTGCTTCAGTCGCAGGCAGCAAGTGCTTTTCCCTTTGACTCAGCTCTAACTGTGTTATRAGCCAAAAAAAAATACACAGGGTATAGCAGGAGAAAAAGTTCCAGTGTATGAGCTCACCATCAGTCCTGCACGCTGGGTCTGGCACCGAGCTCAGCCTCTTTAGTACAGCTGATGCCCACGCAGGTTCTTCTGGTCGCTCTCGGGTTGCTGGGGATGAAAAGYCCAGCATGTCCTCTGCTCCTCCGGCCACCGCTGCAGCTGCGACGCCCTCCGCGCAGGAACAGCAGAGATGCCAACAGCATCTGGAGCAGGCAAGGTCACCTTCGCTGGGTCCCTGTGTGCTGCTGCAGAGCATCTTTGCCATCGTTCTCCCGTTTCTTCCCCAGGTTTTCTGTGTTTTTTTTTAAGCTGCTGCACTTGGCAGAACAAGGCTGCCTGCTTTGCTCTCTGTTCCTGGCCTGGTCAGTCATTCACAACTTTATAATGGCACTTGGATCCCAATGTGCTGGGAAGAAGAGCTGGAGCAGTGTAACACACCAGGGAGGCTCCACACCACGGGCAGAGAGTCCTCATAGACGCTGAAGCTCAGGGCAAAGCTGGGCACCAGCAATGGA